TTAAAACTGCTTACTTATACTGTAAAATCAGACAATAAACTAAATATTCCATCGTCGAAGTTACTCTTAAGTGGAAAAAAACTATAAATGCAACCATTTTTAATATTTGAAGACATTTAATGCAATTTTTTAAAGTAAACTTTTTGATTATAGCTGTTAAAACTGCTCGATAACACATTTTAGGTTTATTGGCATTTAAAATATGACGTGCAGTTATCTATTTCTATTAAATTGTAAATAGGAAGTTAGTTATATTTGTATATTTGTATGAATATTTGACACACCGATGATTTTATGCTGTTAATTTTATATTTTTTATGAATGTAGAGCTAAAATGGTTTCTGCTCAGTCACTTAGAAACCAATTCTCCCTTTAATTATATGAATAGATTAGTCTAAACACTAATGCATACAAATATAAGCGCTTCAAATTGCAAATGATAAAGACTGTTATAGAAAAACTGAGTGTGTTATCTGTATGTATATCTATTGTTCACTCAAATTTTACCTCTATCAATACTTTAAATATAAGAACAATTCTAACTACATTAATATGATTTCCAAATATTTAATTGCATTACTAGCTATAATACTTTACTTTATATATAATTTTAATTATTACACTCTTTTGACAATACTTAACCATGCCTCACCAGCACCAAGACAGATACATACAGTGGTTTAGGTACTTGGGTATTGAATATTTTCTAATTTTGCTATTGTGTAAACTGATGCTGCGGCAAAAGAGAGCTTAAAAAATGTTTAATTTAAAAATAAAATAGTAGATATTAAAATCATACGCCGTCAAAACACTTTGTATAGTATTTTTTTAACTTAAACACGCACTTTGTTATGCAAATCGAATAAAAAGGTAATTTTTTAAATGTGCAAATTGTAAAACAAATGTGTCTACTACTTATTTACTCTGTTAAAATATATCCAAAAAGCTGAATGCTTGCGTTTTTGTGCCTATTTATATGTTTGTCAAATTCGTCTATTATTTATATACTTCGAATTACCGTTTAAGTATGTGTACATGAACCATTATATTAAAATCGAAAAAACAAATTATGAACGCATAATGTACGCACAAACCTACACACAGTCTCATTTGAACAATTGGAAGCGCATTTTAGACATTTTATTAGTAGCATTCTACCACTCACAGTCCACTATTTGCGTTTCCTACCTGCCACTTCCTCAAAGTCAGAATCATCGGTATCTCCTGCAACAACCGTTGAAGTTGGTCGCGTTTTGGTATGCCGTTTAACGCGTGTCGACTTTGTTTTGTTAAGTTTATGGGGTGCACGTTTAATTTCACATTCATCGTCCTCTTCTTCGCCATCATCCTTCGATTTAACACTGCGCAAGGCAGCATTACTTTGCTTCTCGCCCAATGCAAGTAGCGAATTGACATCCATAGCGTTTGCATTCACATTTTCACCTGTTGTTTTGGCGTCTTGCTGTTGGCTTTCAGTTGCACGTTTTGCTATGGTCTCCTTGGCACGCTCCAGACTATTAACATTATCCAACAAATTTGCAAAATCAAATGACTTTCCATTTGCCTGCTCGTCGGCACTAGATTCGTTGTTATCCTCTGAACCCGAATCAGAGAGTTTCATTATACCCGCATTGCAATCGAAAACGGGCGCTGGTGAAGTGGATTTTTCTTTGTCTATGCGTTGTACGTTGAAAAAACTTGATTGAAAATCGATGTCCTCTGGATTTACCAGATAATCTTCGACGCTCGATTCGCTGCTGGAGTCGTTGCCAGGTTCGACACTTTCATTGGGCACTTGGGCGTTTTTTGAAGCCGTTCGTGAGGTTGACGCCGATGGTGAATTGCTGCCAGCACTGTTGGGTGATGGAAATGTTTTTGGTGGTGGCCGATATTTGTTGTAGAGTTTAGTGCGCAGTGATTGACCAGTGGCTTTGCGTTTCTTAATGGCAGTTTGCTTTACAGCAGCCTTAGCAGCCGTTGCCCCCCTAAGTTGAACATACATTTATATACACATCTTTATAAACAATTTCATAACGAACTATATACAACTTACTTTCTTCTACCAACAGCACTAGAACCACTGATATTTTGCGCGCCTGCAGTTTGACGCAGCTCCTCAAAATCGCTATCATCATCATCAGACGATTCCCCACCACGCACATCTTTAGTTGGTTTCCATTCATCCTCACTGGCTGAAAATCCTTCAGACATTGACTCTTCTTCCTCGTCCGACATATTTGTGCACAACCTACGCGCGGAATATAAGTATTCTCTTCACATCAAGAATTTCGTTCTGCTATATCGATTTTCTGATGCTGTTTGAAATTATTGTGAGCTCTTCTTCTATACACTATAAATATATATTCACAATAAGAGGGCACTTAAGGGAGCGATTTTGACATGCCATTGTATTTATGGCAACATTGAAAAATTACCGCCAATAACAGATTTGAAGAGCGTGGATAAGACAAAAAATTATCTGCTTCTGTAGGTTTTTAGGTTTACATTTTCAATTGTTAAATTCTTCTCCTTTCAATACAGTTTATAGCACAGCAGGTTTTCTAAAAGAAGGCAGTCGATTCAACCCAACCGTAATACCCTGAATGTACATCCGGCCGATTTAAAGGTCCATTCACATACAGCTTTCCTCGCTTTGTGCGACAGTTCATATTGACAACACGAAGCGCAGAAAGCGAAGGGTATGCCACAATGAATGCTTTGCTTTCTCTAATGAAAATTGCGACTGTTGCTTGGCTTCGCGTCGAAAACTTTTAATGTAAACGTACTTATACAAAAGCGTACATCGAATTTATCTGTCAAAACAAATGTCTGACGCAAGTCGTATGTAACTAATACTGAACGTTAACATATAAACTTATTAATTCTTGCCGGTTATATGTTAGGTGTCCGGAAGACATTCCGTAATTAAAACCATTAACTATATGTGTAGTAATATGCTAAGTGAGCACGCACTTATGTTTCTTAGCCCTTGTAAATGCCGAATTGTTAAGAAATGTCGGACCTTATGATCTGTCATTATTTTAGTAACTATGACGTCACTAACACATATTGAGTGGAAAGGGAAAACAGTGGGGACGTGAAGAAAGGATTTTGAATCTCATATGTACTTATGTATGCATGTAATTATACCCTGACTACGATGTTTGTAACACCGAAAAGGAAACGTTGTAGACCTTATAGAGTATATAAATATTTATATTATTGTTCGTCTGTCTATCTGTATGTACGCGAACTAGTCCCTCAGTTTTTGATGTATCGATCTGAAATTTTGCACACGTTATTTTCTCTCCAAGAAGCTGCTCATTTAATCCATGAAGAAATGGTTTAAATCGGACAACTATAGCATATACTTACATATGTATGTAGCATACAAACTGACCGAAGTTAAAGGTAAGCGGACAAGTTTCTAAACTTTTAAATGTTGTATTTATATCGCGGTTATGCAATTACAAATCGATTAACTTGAACTCCTTGTAAGTCCTTCGCTTAAAATAGTTTTAAGCGGAAGATAAGCAATACCTTGCACACATGGACGTATGCAGATACGTCTTTACATACATATGTATACAGTGTATAAATATGTATATACCATGCAAAATTTGCAAGCAGACTTTTTTCACACACAAGCGTCCAAGTTGAGGTAGGTCACGGCATGAAAAATGGAACACATAAAAAAAACATTTGTAAATGTGTGCGTTTATGCCCATAACGAAAGCGCAACAAATCGAACGCATGGTGGAATGATAGTTATTGGGGCCAACTTTCGAATTTATGTACATATGTACGTGGGCTTGGGTTGCGCGCTAAAGTGGAGCATTATATTGGGACAAAATGGAATTGGAGAGCACGTGCTATCTGGATGTCATGTGCTCACGGCATGTTTACTTTCATCCTTCACCAAACGCATGCAGTTATAAGTACGTTGTATAATTATCATTTATTTTTTTGAATTAAGGCTTATTGCCAGGCAATCCCGGTATAATGTCTAGGCCAGTTTGAAAAACGAAAATTGTAATGAATGCTATATTTTAAACAAATTAGTAGAATGTTTATTTTCCTCATGTAGTTGTTTTCTAAACAAAAAGTTCCAAACCAAATGTTTTACGGCGAATATTATTTGTTGATCCTGCGCATTGCTTGCCGAATCCTTTTTGTTTTGCTGTCACATACATACATATGCAGCAAGGAACGCAGAAAAACTTGACTACTGCATTTCTAGTTTGATTTAATTCGAGACAGTTCCTTTCGGATTTTCGCGGTGAGCGGTTGGTAGCAAATTGTATCCGGTTTTTAGCATCAAATTGTAGTGATTAGAAATTTGTAAACCAAAGAAATTAAAACGGATTTTTTAATACAATTAAATTCTATGGTGAGAAAAGTTTTATTTACCGTTATATAACGCTGTGGATGTATCTACTATTAAACTGTATTAAACTGCAAGTAAAGTAAAATAAAGAAAAGTCTAACAGTTTTATCAATCGAATAGTGCACTGTTACTTTCGTATGGGCACCTAAAAATTATTTTATAATTAGAAATCTTAAGAGTCTAGTGAATTGTCTAACCAACATGAATTTTTGGTTTTTGAAAATAAAAACAGTTTTGGAAGTTGAAAAAGTAAAGTGTAAAACTTTAGAAATCAATTTATTGCAATTTCGATATGATTTTGAGCTTAAGTTCACAGCTTCAGCTATTTGGATAAAAACTCTAATCTACAAAAGTTTTTTATTTTTGGGCGATTTTATGAAAAGTTTGCATAATGTTGTTTGGTTTTTAGTAATTTCAAAAATAAAAAAATTAATATTTTCTAAATAGATATACAAATGCAAAGTGTTAGAGTCTTTACTAAATACCGAACACTCAGTAATAATGAACAACCTTTCACCGGCATTCTTACACATTTTTCCTTTCAATGAGTAATTTTTTGCAATTTGTTGGCATCACTGTTGCTGACAGCTGAGCGAAGAAATGTCAAAAAAAAACACATGCAAAGAAAGCACGTAATCAAAACAAGACAAAATTGGGCGAATTTCATGCGCCCACAAAATCGAAAATTTCAGTTCATTCTCATTCTGTTTTGCATCGTGTTCAGTCCTCTGATTATATTCTTGTTATCTTCGCGTGTTTGTTTTTGCCTCGTCGTCAGATGTTTGATATATACTTGGATTAATTCGTTCAAATAACTTATTAAGCGTGGACCAACTGGTGCATTGAAACAAAAAAAAAGTAATAATTAAAAAATAAATAATAACAAAATGCAGTGAATGTGTGTAAAAATGTGCAGTTGAACAATGCTAATTGTAGAAAAGAAATTAATGAAATGTATGTGAAGAAAATTGTTTGCATTGCATAAAAAGTAAACTGAAAAGAAAAATGTCGTGTACAAAGAACTAAATTAATTAATTAAATGATAAATGTATTATCTTATGTATGACTTTATTTCTCAGCTATGCCGGCGATATTATAATTCTGAGAAATAATTTATTAGTGCAAATTGCATTTGTGATAGCAGCGCGCGCATCTTAATTTGACACCATACAATGCTTTATCAAAAGACAGGCGGTGGTGAGCGGTGATCACTAGATCAGCTGGTCAAAGAGGTCGCCACTCTATGCCCGCACCCGCATTCGTCTGAGCAACTATGAGAATATGCTATAATGCTAAGGCATTGACTTTCCATTTGGTTCTGGTCTGATACTTGTACGCTAACCCGTTCAGTTACGTAGCAATATTAATCGCCACACACTTGTGTACATACCATACATATGTACATATACATATGTAGCTGTCTGATTTAGTTTATTTTTGTAGTTTTTTGTGGTATATTCATGATATGTTTATTTCATAATAACTTCGCAGACATGTTTGAAGTAGCACATTTATATGATCTAATAATTAAATTATTTTGTTAAAGGTGCAAAACAATAAAAATTCTTAGCTGGTAATAACATTTGAATTTTTTTAATGATATAAAATAAATTGTTGTGCGCGCTGCGGGAATTTTATAAATATTTACGTTCTGGCAAAAAACGATAATGAATTTCAAAATGAAAACTTTCTACTGTGCTCAAATCCGATATTATTAATAAAGGTACATCAGAGCTTTAAAATTTCGCACTCATCGAAATCACATCAATGAATAATTTATTAAAACAAAATAATAAATTATAATGATTGTTGTTAAAACACGGTTTGAAGATTGGTGCATTAACCTCAGAAAAAGCGTTATTTGCGTACAGGTTTCAAAATAAGTGTATTTAACAGAAAATATGCATAACCTGTCCAAAATGATGCATTAGTCGTACTCTTGACTTCGTAAACTTGTGTTATTAAGGTCTCAAAGCAAATGACCTAGATGTATGTATGTACATGCTTTATCGGATTGGTACTGTGTTTATACATACTATATCATATTTTGATATAGGTCGTGCTTATAAAAAAAAAATTAAGTAACTAATTTTTACTTTAAACATTTGTAAATAGTTGTGATAGTCGGTTCAGTAACCAATTAATCGAACGTGCGTGTATTGGTGGTGATCCTTTCCAAAGATATGCTAATGTTATTGTAGCGCCATAAAACACTTCTAAATATTGTTCCAAAGTGCCAAGTTGACAGTATAAAAATCCAGATCTGTTCCCTTTACGTAAAATCTAGTGCCTGGATCTTCGTATTGAAAAGTTGAATTCTTTAACCGTTTCGCTTAATTAATATACATATGTGAACGTAACGACCAACTCATCCGACAGAACAACAAGAACAGCATTTCTTTCCTGGTCAAATACATTCACATACAAACATATAAATATGCAGAATTTAAATTTTTATTACACAAGATACATTTACATATTTAATGTCTACCGAAAAAGATAAGTACTCACCTCCACTATGATTTTGACATGTTGCTGACATTATCGTTATCACTTTACCTGTGCTGTCCGAACCAAATTACGTTGTTGGCGAAAATTCCTCTCATCTTTGCCCTCCTACTATCAAAACAAACTATAAATTTAATTTATTTAAGAAGTATGTTTCGTTCGTTGGCCAGCGCAGGCAACGGGGACTCAGTCGAATTTGAAAATATGATGGAATAATAACTAAGTGTTTTGTGTTTGCGCGCATTTCACAAATGCATGAGAAATTGTTTACTTTCTGCCCCGTTTGCAACGCCAACGTCGCTGTACATTGTCAGCGCACTGTCATGAGCACAGCGTCTCATCCACCCGCTCACCTTGTTATTACACTGTTGTCATTGGAAAAACATCACTTTGCATTAGGGCATCTGGATTTTGAAGTGTTGCTGCGAACTTGTAGTTTTTACAATATTCACTAACAATTAATAACCTGAGGATTCCGTGTGCTTACATATATACCCTTCACTTCGATTATTTTTGCACGTGGATTTCGTTTATTCATTGGAATTTCCGCAAAAATCTATTTGCCCTTACATTTTCTTCAATTGCTTATTTAATATATTGGGAAATACATATGTATGGATGTTCTGCAATTGTGCACTTTTATATGCGTTCATACACAAAATTAATATCCAAAATCAGTGAGTGGTAAAGTGTAATAAATTACTGTGTATTATAAACAATGTGCCGGCACTAAAGCTTTGTATGCTTCACGAATTGTATAATTTTAGTATCTATTTGAATGCGTAGTGTTTTTATTATTTGACTATTATTGTGCGTTTTGCTTATTTAAAAATGCATTGTTGCTTTTAATTAACTGAGTGATGTGGTTATGCCAGTGATTATGATGTAAAACAGCCATGCTGATTGAAATGCGGCGTTAAAATTTATCGTTCGATATTATAAATGAGCGTTATTAAAATATTGCACAGTGAATACATTATAAAATTCAATTATTAGTGGAAGTTGAATTAATAATCAAATACTGCGTTTTATTAGCTCCTTATGCCAATGTGTAAATACAAAATTGAAGTGTTACCAACTCTGTCGTTCTTATAAAAAAGCTAAAAACATAAATTAATCGGAAGTTTAATTTATGTCCAGGAACAAATTTTTTTGCTAAAAATTAATAATTTTTTTTACAATAAAGTGGTAATTATCACAATTGGAAACAAATATACATATGTTAAATTATTTTGCCTATAATCAAAATTTTTTTGTGCAAATAGATAATCCAAAAATAAACAAATAAATTAGAAAAGAATGTCGAATGATCAATGTAATTCAAGCCGCCAACAGCGATACCCTCAACTTATGATACAGCCGTCGGCTGAATGGTTTATATTACATTATTGGATGTTACACAGTTTTTATATGAAAAGTTTTATGCGCAGATTTAAAAAAATATATATAAAATGTAGAAAGTTTTAAATTGGTATTAAAATTTTTGTGTTTAACTAAGTTTTCAAATGCAAGTCATCGTTCGCTTTAAACAGTGCGGAATTTTTTATTAATAACTTCATTTTCCTATTTGGATGGGAGAACAGCTGATGTTTGTCTACAATTTTGTCTCCATCTCTTTAAAAATATTTTTTATAACTTTTTTTTCATATTGTGAAAAAGAAAACTTGAAAATTGATTATACATTTTTTTTCTAATCTTTCATTCCGTTCTAAAATAACGACAGACCAGTGAAAAACTTAAATGCTTTTTATTTAAGTCTACCCTAAGGGATTATATTCACTTAAAAAAATAAATTTTTGGGCACATATACATATATCGAATGTTACAGAATATTCTCCTTAAAGTTGATCCGGCAAATAGTTTCGGAGATGTGAGCGTATTTCTAAGACATTTTCCAACTTGGTCTTCTTAAATATATTTGTCAAACAATGATCGTAGGAGTAGGATTTTTGATAATATTTTATATTTTTTAAATTACTATCAAATTTTTTTTTAATAAAACGCGACTTTTTTGTGAGGAAACTGCTATTTTGTATAACACCAACATTTTTACTAGTATTTTAATCAATAACTGTACTCAGCTGCAGTAATAATACATTTTTTTATATTTTGGATTTGAGATAATTTTAAGCTGAACAAGTTTCTTCACCGCCAGACACTTTTTGCTTGAGATCGGCTACGAGATTGAGGCAATACAAATTTTTCAAAATGAATTACCGATTATTAATGTACATTAAATTATGTAAATGAGCACATTTTTTTTATTTATTAAACAAAATGCCTCTTCTAAAAAAAAAAATCACAAAAAGAAGCATTTTTTCTGATTTGCAAGTGGATTTAACCCCTTAAATAAGGAAAAACAGTTGATTTTCTGTTCTGTGAGTTATTATCAACAGAGATGTTTGCTAATTGAATTCATTTATCGAGTAAAGTGTAACAAAAAACACAACCGTTGTGACCTCTCATCGAAGCTGCAAGAAAACTTTTGATTTAGAGTAAAATTTTTTAAGGGTGTGAAAAAAAATTTTTTTTTAATTGATTGCTGTTTTTGTTGATCGAGTTCGAACCGAAGCTTCTTGCGCTCTTCACTAATTCTAGGAAATTCATCTAAAATCAAATGGACAAAAAAAAAGTTTGTTTATTAAGAGGTTTTTCGGGAAAAAACCAACAGTCCTCCTCCTTCAATCAGCCACTAGTTTTTCATGTTTTCAAAAAGCTCTTAAAATTGAAATCTACCGAGCGGCTTTCGAGCTGGTGGTTACCTCTTCAAAAAACATAGTTTTGAAAAAAAATGCATTTGAAGTTTTACACTCTAGTTCCAGAGCGCTCGAAAACTCTATGCTAATTCTTAATTGATTCTTAAAGTCAACGACCTTACAGTCGCTACTTTTGAAGCAGTAAACTGCGAAATCAATAAAATAAATATTTGCTTGCTTTGTTGAGTATCTAGTCTGTATGCCTAACCTCGGAAAATTTTGGAGATCGCGTAGAGTATAATTTTGGGAACAAAGTAAGAGAGGTTAAGTTCTTCAAAGTTTCTGTAAGTTGCCTTATAGTATGACTAAAATTATTATGATAAATAATAAAACATACTAATTAAAAAAAAGTTTCAATAATCCTAACCTAATTTAAAAATATATAAATATGACTATTATGTTAAATTTACGAAAATCTGTTTGTTTGTATGTATTCTCTGTAAGAAAATCGCCAAATTAAAAATAAAATTGCAGTGCAACATTTAAAAAATATTTCCCATTATATAATATATGACACAATCAAAAATTTAAAAGCTCGTTTCAAGAAGCCACCTCAATGGTAAAATATCTACGCAAACAAAATATCTTGCTGTGCATACACATAACTCATGTCGTCAGTAAATAATAAAAAACAAAAATAATTAAATTAAAATTTTTCTTCTTCAATTTTATAGTACAAATCACTTATCAATATCCATATGAGCACAACAACAACAACCAAAAAAACGTTTATATTTGTGTGAGTGTCTTGGCAGCAGTTACTTTATAGAATTTCCATTACCCAGCGAAAAGAAACAGTAAATAATACACATAAGAAGTAAGCAAGAAATAAAAATGAAATGTAAAATTGTGTGAGCTACCGAACTGACCTTAATCAAAAGCAAATAAAATCAACAGTTACAATAAAAGCAAATATAAAACGCGAAAAGATGCCGCAAGCAGCATTTCAATGAATGGAAAATAATAAAACCTAATTTAATTACAATAAAAGAGAAAAATAAAATCAAAGAGACAAAGTAAATAGAATTTAAGGATAAACAATAAAAATTTGTTAAAACTTGTGTGCAATAGATACTACAAACATACATACATACATACAAAAAAATGAAATAAAATAAGAAAATACTGTAACAAGTGAGTGTTTCTGTGCATTTTTGTGTGAAATCTTGCTCTACTACTTATACATTTGCCTGTGTGCTAATCTAACCGTTAAAGCGCTCGCAATCTCGCTGCTCCTCGAACGTGTCGTCCGTCAGCATGTTACGGAATTTTATTTGATTTGCAATTGAATTACAATTGAACACAAAGAACTCGTAAAGATATTGAAAAATAGCAATAACAACAACAACAACTGCAAAATAATATATACACAAACAGAAGATAGACAAATCAACAACAAAAAAAGTCTTTTCAAAAGCCAACGAATTAAATAAGAAATTCCGTTAAATTACTTTCAATTTTGATTACATCAACGCAGCGGTGTACACACACACACACACACACAAACAAGCGCGCAGACGCTCACATCACAGCAAAAGCGTATCCAGCCCAAACCACCCACTCGCGCGGCCAAGCAGCAGGCGTACGTGTGTGCCATTGACGTGCCTACAAGCGAGCACATAGCCCAAGAGGCAAGCAGACGGACAGACAGACAGACAGACAAGTGCTACAAACCCATACATACCGCTACACACACACACACACACACACACACGTGTATATACGAGCACCTTGAACCTCAGCCGTAACTTTTTGCTCTTGTTGTTGTTGCCGTCGTCTAATCATCGTCGCACTTTGTCATAGCTTCTGATTGTTGAAGACAACGCAAAAACACTCGAAGGCACTTGAGTGCTTTGGAACTTTTAATTGGTGAGTGAGCTTATTTTTATTAAAAAAAAAATTCAGAGTTGTTTTTTTCTTTTTTCTACTCGTTCAAAATAAAATAAGTCGAAATGTCATTAATAGACACTAAGGAATGTGTGTAGGTCTATTCCAATAAATGTGAACAAGCACTGCGGCGCATGATTGAATGGGTTATTGGTCGGCATTTGTTTTTTGCGTGGGAAAATCATAACGGCAAGCACGAAGTGTGACGTATGTAGAGAAATGCGAATGCGCATGTGTATGTATGTGTGCAAATTTTATGTCCCCATAAATATTGATGATTTAGGCGCCATTTCTATATCTAATCTAAAACGCATTACGGTAAATTCAATAACATTTTAATATCATTCACTAATTGAAATTCAATTGAAAAAGTTTTGAAACAATTTTATCAATAAAAAATTTCAATATCAGAACTTCAATTTGCCACATTTTTATTTTCATGTTTTTCATATGAAACTATGCTTTCGCTGGAGTTTCGAAATTGATATGCATGGAGCCTTTTGCTGGTGTTGCTAAAATTTAAATTGAATTTCCGTCATAAATTACGTGGCCTACATTCAGGCGGCATAACCGAACTGACTAACTATGTCTCATATTTTTACGAGGATATTGTGTGTAGAGCTCGTCTTACAGAGCACGTTAGATACAGTGGCGCTCAAAATAAATTGAAATTCAAAAACAACGGTTTTGAGTGGCATATTTTGGCTTATAAGTGAGTTTTTTCGAATTTGGTGGTGTTAATAGTGTTCAACAATTGATATTAAATTTTTTTTTACTTCGTGGCAACTACTCTGACTAACTGAAATTTAAGAAATAACGGTTTAAGTTTGCATATTTTTGGTTACCAGTAAATTTGGTTCACGCAGTGGCGATCTGAAATTTTCCACTCGTCCTTTTCTCACCAAGAAGCTGCTCATTAGTTGAAAGGTTTCTGCGCACGAAATGAAAAAATACTGTTTTTGGTAAGAAATATATTTTTTTATTCAATATAATCTCCCTTAACTTATATATATTTATTCCAATGATCCTCAAATAATTTACTTTCCGAAAGATTTAGCCTTCTACGGTATGAACAGTTGTTTATAAATTTCCTTTGCTTTTAAACCTTTCAAAACAGAGAATCTAATCACTGCGCGATATTAAATGTTTTTCATATTAAAAAAATACTCTGACACGTCAACTTCAAATGGCTTGTAAGCAAAGAATTAATTGACAGACAGAATGACTTGTAACTTCGCATGTGTTCTCATAGATGTACCAACTTGAGAAAACACATTTTTTCTCTCTATTTCTATATCTATTTCTTGGTGAGAGCACAAACTTTTCAACCAACCTGTATAACACAAGTTTCGACATTTTTCTCTTTGTTTACTTAAGTGTATCCATATTCTTTCAAAACAAAACTGAAATTAAAAATAAAACTATTATTTTGTTTCATGTTTTCTCATTTTCATAGTGTAAAATGGAAATAAAGATTTAAAAATTAAAGAAATCTTACACGACCATTTATAGTTTCATAAACTGTGGACACAAAAATATTTAAAATCGATCTTATATCTTGGGCAACAAAACCACTTTAGACCAGTGTTGTTATCCAAGGCTTCGCTACAATTTTCGAACAAATTGTTTAGATCGGACTACTATAGCATATAGCTGCCATACAAAGTCACCGATCAAAATCGAGATATAGATCTTTGTATACCCTTTTATGCTATAAAAAATGCATCTGTAATTAATACCGTTCTAACGTTTTACTTGGTTTTCGAAAAATTCAATGAGTTTTCAAAAAGAAAATTTTAACTTGTCCCTTTGAGATGTCAGTGAGCCCTTGTACAGCTAGTATAAAAGTTCTTTCAAGTCTAAAAATACGATTTAAACCCCATAAATATATATAATATATTAATATAAAGAAGTATGCCAAATATTTAATAAAAAATACTCACTAAATATCCCCAAAGCATTAACACACTAAATCCTTAACATTAATATTAGTAATAACTTCCAACTAAATACTAACCCTCTAAAAACAAATTTATCAAAATGTTGAATATGTACGACCATAACTGTTTAAAAATAGTTTCCAACAACATCGTGTCGAGTGACCCCAACCTAACTCTAACGTGTGAAAGGCAATAGCTTAGCTGATATGCTCAAAGTGCCAAAAATGCTTCCTTGCATCGTTATTAGCACACTTTCTTAGCTGTCAACAGCTATGTTCTGCGCGGGTAAGCTGCTCCTTTCACACACAAAAATCCGCAAATAGTTCAACGGCACGACAACAACAACTGTTTACTAAAAGGTTGTAAAGTCCATTCTATTAATTAACATTAATAACATTGACAAATATGCGCCTCAAACGCTCACACAAACACCCGCTCAGAGCGAGTACTATAGCCGCTAGGGGTCTCACTCCCACATACCTGCCAAACTATTTGTGATTATGTAGAAGTTTGTGGGGGAGATATTCATTCAACTTATGGTTCACCGCTTCACGCAGCGTGACCTTCCAACACACACGCACACACACATACTTTGAAACATACATGCATCGTTAGAGCGCTTCGTAAGCGTATGTTTAGCTCTCATTCGATGGCTTGTCCTTTTACGTCGTCTCACTTCGAACGTAGCGGCTCGTTTGCTTGACTGCCTGTTTGGCATCTTGCGGCTACTTACAAGGTTATAAAAGCTGCCGAAATTATGATAACTTCATTAAAAGTTAAGCAAAGTTAAGCAACGCATAAAAACATGAGACGCTGGCAGATGGCAGACGGAGTGAATTTCGACTTTGTTATGTTTTTGTTGCTGTGTGTGTGTTGTGTTGGCTTGTGTGGTGGTTCGAAAAGTGATTTCAAAATGTGAGGAGCTGAGGAATTTCCATTCCCAATCAGGTTTTTCGAGAAAGGGTAACTTTCCAATGATAAATGTTTAATAAGTACTACATATTTGAGGATTTTATGACTAATTACACTATAAGGTAAAAACTACTTGTCTTTGTCCAAACCAATTTTTTGCTTCGAAAAACAGAGACTTAAGTTACAAAGTAATTTCTCAATTTTTTCGAAGCTCGAAATTGTGATTATTTCAAACATCGTTACTAGTTATACCATAGTATGTAAATTACTAAAAAAAAGGAAAAATATGGACATAATCTATGTCTTATTTCAATATTGTACAACATTTTTACGTCACTCTTATATGGGAGAAGCTAGAGGTTAAAGTTGGCTCTTCGAAAAAAAGAAGAATTTTTTTCATATAAAACAAAAATACTGGCTTTATATTTGGTTCAATAACTATATACAATATTAATAATTTTAGCCAATAATCTGTGGTACTTCGCCGATACAATAACTGCTTAATATAGCAAGTTTATAGCTTTTCAGTCAAGAATATAATGTGCGAAGAAGGTTAAAAACGATCACTTCAATACTAGAAACAGGAAAATCGTAAACTTCGATTCCACTCTTCACAAATATAAAATATTCCATACAAGGTCGGTTTGCTTGTATCACAGTTATGTATATACTTAGTGACCGATCTGAGCGATTTCTTCTCAGATTGTACCGTTACCTTTGACAATAACTCTTACCAAATTTCGTGACGATATCTTGTTAAATAAAAAAGTTTTCCATACAAGGATATGCTTTTGATTGTTTAGTTTGTATGACAGCTATATGTTATAGTGGTCGGATATCGACGGTTCAAACAAATAAGCAGCTTCTTGGAGAGGTAAAGAAGTGTACAAAATTATGAATCGACATCTCAAAAACACAGAGAGACAGACAGATATGTAGATCTTGGCTAAATCAACTCAGTTCGTCATGCTGATCATTTATACCTATGTATGTATATCAATATATGTATATCTAGGTATATATGTATTTCGTAGGATCTCCGACGTTTCCTTCGGGATGCTGCCAACTTTAAGGAAACTTAATACACCCTGTTTATTGTATGAAGAGTAGCTAAAAGAAATCATTATGGAAAAAGATAAAGAAACCTTTTAGCGCCAAAATAAGTCAGATGATTGTTCGTTCTTCAAGTTCACAAAAGTGCATCGCGCATAGAATATTTCAAGCTGAACGCAAATACAGTACAAAGTTACATAATATTTTTAAGAAAGTTTTTACCATGTTTTTCATTTAATTTTGTTCGAAATATTGTAAAGATAAATTGACTTGATTGCAAATATATTTAAAATTACTCCAATCTCTTTAAAAAAGATAAAAAAAAATTTTGTTTTGTAAGCGAGTGGCAAAGAAACGCTAAATTCCAAAAGAAATTTTCGTTTTAGATATTTAACACCACTGGTAACATTTAAACTGTCAAATATGTGTTCTCTTACCTTTGCCTGTTAGTGTATTGGGGAATTTTGATTGCCGTTACTTGAAAAATTGCATTTCACATTTGAAGTCGCTTATTTTTTAACTAACCTTCTTGAACCCGAGAAATCTAGTTGAGTTCGTGTTGTTGCTTCAGAATCAATATCTTATTTTAGCGAGTGTTCTTTTGTGTAAGTGAACTGGGCTAATATACACAAAACGGAGAAATGTCTCACAAAATGCTTCTTATTGAATCGTACTTTTTCAGTTACCGACTCTTCGATCCACCCGATGTTTTCCAATGAGGTATAAACGAAATTTTTCCTTGCTGTTTGGGATTTGCTTTCTTTGTCAATATTTGTTACGGCCCCTTGCTGTTCTTGATTGCTCGGCATATTGCTTGTGTGCTCGTATAACTCCCGTTGCCTGCCAATTGCATCAGCAAATACAGATATTTAGCTGTAAACTCTTAACTTCATATAAACTTTTATATCCAACAACTTTTGTGTGTGTATATGTATATATTTATAAACTATATATATATACATATGTATAGATTGTATGCTCATAAAAGTAAATTACGTGCTGGATGTTTATGTGTGAAAATTCATAATACAAATTCAATTAGGTAATAATTTCCTGACGGCTGGCAGGCTTTCAGAT